TACACAGGTTCATCCCCTTTTGAGAGTTGTAACGAACTTAGATCTTCGACCATGGCTCTGATACCAGATGTGAGAAACAAAGTTTCTAACGGGATTCGTATTGGGTGATCTTTGGGAATTTAGGGATCGAGAAGATAGAATTAGGGATTTGGAAGGAGAATTGGGATTAGGAACAGAATTGGGGAAGAACAGAAAGAACGGCCGAAGCCTCTAGAGAGAAGGATAGACGCAATTTGAGAGAGAAAGAGATTAGGGTTTGGGGGAAGGACTTTTCTATTAATTTCTGCTTAATCTGACGAATGATCGAAGGTACATATATATATATAGGGAAATACTAGAAAACCCTAAGAATAAACCTAATTCTAATAGAAGACTACTAACCATAATAAGAAATATCCTAATAATAATTATAACCATAAATATAGAAACCCTAAAGAAATCGGTTTCTAACATCTCCTCCCCCTTCAATCCAACCTTGTCCTCAAGGTTGATCGTTTTGACCCTCTTTTTCTTCCTTCCCGAGCAATCCGCAAGCTGACTAATCCAGTTCTTGCGCTTCCGTTTCTTCCAATCGTGCTCCACACCCCGACTAGGCCTTCTTTCTTCATCCTCCTGATTTGCATGATCCACGACCGTGATTTGCATTTCCGGTGGCATCATCCTCTCATTCTCCAAGTATTCAAACTTCAATAATTCTTCTTTCGCGATCATCGCCCTCCAGCAACTCCATGAATCCAACGACTCGCTCTGGCTCAAGAACACATCCTTAAGTACTAATTTATCAAGGCTTGTGAACATCTTTCTTGGAGCTAGCCCGTAAATTTGCTCTAATGGTTCTCCAAACCCAATTGGATCATGCTCTCTCGAAAACCCATCTTCCAAACCTAATAAATGGTCCTTCCAAACCATTGAGCCCATTGCCTTCATAACCTAGCCCACGTTGGGATTAACCCTCTCATGCAGACTACACCCACAAGTAGTCTCATCCTTAGCCGACTTCCTCTTAATTTTCGGCCCATAGCTTATCTCCAGCCCAATCATTCCATTCATCCTCCTGGCCCACTCAATCGATCCCCTTGGTCTGACACGAGCCCAGCCCGCTCGTGCCCTTGCTGCTCCGCTCGGGTCAAGGCAACCGCTCCAGGGTTCCTTGGATTTAGCCCATTGAATTGTTTCATTGTTTCTCCACATGCTTTTGGGTTAGTTTTCCTTGAAAGCCCATCTGACAATCCTATGAACCCACCTTTCTTTTTCTCCATGCTCACCCACTTTAAAACAAAGCCTGTTGGAGGCCCAAGCCCGCTCTGACAGCTCAACCCAGTCTTCTTTTGAACCTAGTGGGTTCCCTTGCTGTTCAGCCTAACACTTAGCTTTGGCTCAATCCGATTATTCCCATGACGTGGCCCGATCGAGTGAACCAACAGGTCTGACCTGAGGTCAACAATTGTTCGCCCTTGCTCCAGGTTTGTTCGGCCTGTCTCACCTTGTGTCTTGGGCCACCTAGCCCAGGTTTTTCGGCCCAACGACTCGGTTGGCTGCTGTGCGCGGCCGAAGGGTGACCTAGGGTTTTCGAGAGGAGAAACCTAGCTGCCACCAGCCTCCTCTTTAGTCTTCCTCTTCCTCGCCGTGCCCGCCGTCGACGCGTCAAACTTCGCCGGCAAGCAGGCCGAACGGCGGCAACGAGTCACTCGGAGATCCGTCTCCGCTCCGCCAGCCGTCATCGAATGCGCTCCCTTCTTCTCCTTCGATTCCACCCACGATGACGGCTTCTTTACCTCGACCTCCGTCACCCCCGAGCTCGCTGTCGCCATGATCAGCTCTCGTTTACCCAAACACGTCTCAGGCGGAGCTTTTGTCTCCTCCACCTCCGACAGCGAGGCCACAGCCAGCCTGGTTCCCTTCGTGGCGACCACGGCGCATCTTCTCTTGATTTCTCCTTCGAAGATGACCTAGGTCTAGAGAGGAGAGCGATGACACGGCCTCCCTTCAGCTTCTCTCTCTCCGGCGACAAGGGAGGAAACTCACCGCCTCCTCCCTTCGCCTTCTTCTTCTCCTTCCACGAACAACGCCCCCGGCCGCTAGAAATCGACTCCGGCGGAATCTTCTTCGTCTCTCTCCTTGGCGGTGGTTCCCACATCAGGCGGCTAGTGGAAGGTGACCCCGGTGCCGCCCACCTGATCTCGACCGCGATTGGCGCGGCCGGTGATCCCGCCATTGCTGGTACGACCTGCGGCGCCGGCAAGTAATCCCGGTATTCCTTCTCCGCCTCTACTTTGTGTCGCCGGTCGATGCCGAAACGGAGCCCTGCCAACTTCGAGCGGATCTCGAGACTTCCGATGTCTCGCGTCTCGACCGTGATGGGGTGCCGCGAGCTTGCTGTGAGGTTGTGGAATCCAGAAGCGACGCTGTCTGGTTGTTCGGTGATGGTGACTTCACTTGCGGGTACTGATGGTGGTTTGATTGCAGCCACGAGAGGGAACTCCCCATCTTGGTCTGTTGGCGGCGGCTGCTTCTTTGCTGCGCCATCGTCCACAACATCTTCTTTCTCGGTCAGTGTTGTTGCGTTGTTTGCATACTTCTCTTTGTGGATGGGAGGTGCAGCGATTTTGGGGATTCGAATGATGAAATCGAATTTCCCAAAACCAGCTCGATATCGTCTGATGTCGTGGTCTGCTCGAAATCTGATTTGCCTTTTGAATCTGATCCATCTGTGACCATCCGCCAATGGCCTTTGTACCATTATTGCTAGCACATCAGATCCAATTACCTGCACGTCTATGTGCTCGCTCTCGAATCCCGGCAATTCGAAGAACACAACAAAGCGATCTCGCAGGTCCATCGTCATGACATACGACGTGAAGTCTTCATACACAGGTTCATCCCCTGTTGAGAGTTGTAACGAACTTAGATCTTCGACCATGGCTCTGATACCAGATGTTAGAAACAAAGTTTCTAACGGGATTCGTATTGGGTGATCTTTGGGAATTTAGGGATCGAGAAGATAGAATTAGGGATTTGGAAGGAGAATTGGGATTAGGAACAGAATTGGGGAAGAACAGAAAGAACGGCCGAAGCCTCTAGAGAGAAGGATAGACGCGATTTGAGGGAGAAAGAGATTAGGGTTTTGGGGAAGGACTTTTCTATTAATTTCTGCTTAATCTGACGAATGATCCAAGGTACATATATATAGGGAAATACTAGAAAACCCTAAGAATAAACCTAATTCTACTAGAAGACGACTAACCATAATAAGAAATATCCTAATAATAATTATAACCATAAATATAGAAACCCTAAAGAAATCGGTTTCTAACACCTTCACGGTTAAATCAACATTCACTCACTTTCATAACAGCACCAGGCATTCCCAAGGACAGGCTGAGGACTTCTCTGAAGAGAGCAAACTAAGGTGGAAGTGGCTTTGGAGCCTCTCGATCTCTCCGAAACTGAAATTCTTCATTTGGAAGGTGACCAGAGGGGCCATGGCGTCCAAAGAAAACCTCTTTGCTAGGAAGTGCGCAGCATCGAAGACTTGCCCGATCTGCGATTGCTCGTCGGAATCGGTCTATCATTGCCTGTTCACTTGCCCCCACGATACTGAGGGGTGGAACCAAGAATGGCCTTCCTTACCCCGACCTGCTCCACTCTCCTCTGTCCTGGTGTGGCTGGACTCTCTCCGACAGATGTACCCGATCAACTCAATTCAGAAGATCATCTTTCTCATGTGGCAGACCTGGAAAGCAAGGAACGAGAAGATCTTTCGGGGGAACTCCTCCTTGGCCCCCAGCCACCATCACGAAGGCAATAAATGATCATCTCTAGTGGACCACGTGCTCTAGGATCCACTCCACAGGTACCCCATCAACTCAGCTCATTTCACCCCCTGAGCACTCTTCACCACCGCCAGGTACTCATGACTTTGAAGTACACTGCGACGGATCGTTCTTTGACGATTCCTAGAAGGCGGCTTATGGCGTCGTTGTTTCGAACAACCATGATCAAGTGTGTGATGGTAAAGCTGAGTCTCTCCCCAATTGAAGCAGAAGCCTTGGCCCTTTTGGAGGGCTCCCGATTGGCTGCCTCACTCAGAGCCCCCTGCCTGGTGAAGTCTGATTACCTGCAGCTGATACATGCTATCGAGCGGCACCCTAGGACATGGCCATGGCGAGCGGCTGCAAGGCTGGGTCTGATCAATCTTATTCTGGATGATAACCCGCAGATCAAGATTCAACACATCGGTCGAAAAAACAACTCAAAAGCGAATTGGATAGCCAGATCATGTGCTAAGAGCCAACTACCCTCGCAATGATTGCTAATTCTTGATATGGTTGCACCACTCCTGTAATGGTTGGAGTTTGCTTCAATTAATGGAAATTCAGTGTCCTTTGCAAAAAAAAAAAATTGCTACTCGTCATTTTTGGGAATTAAGCAAAAAAGGTTGTACGGAGCTGATCACCGGCACCGTCGCCGCCGCAACTCCGCGTCGCCGCCTCTTCTTCCTCCACCATCTCCAAGCGACGTCGACGCGCTCATGTAAAATTTCCCTTCCGACACCGCGAAAGAGAAACGTACGCCTTTCCTCTATTCTCTAGTTTGGTTTTCCCTTTCTTTCTTTCTTCTTTCTGTGTGTCCGCGTTTTCGTCTCGCTCTCTCTCGTTGGCTCTGACTGCTGACAGTTGGGACGTTTGGGCTAGCTTTGCGACGGCTTCTGGACTCCGGACTTGACGTCATTGTTTCTTCTTTATTGCAATTGAGTCCTTTTCTCAGTCTTCATTATTTTTCCATTACTGCTGAGCTAACTTCTTCTTTCTCTCTTTCTCTCTCTAGGGTTTGGTTGCTTTTCGTTCTCTTTGTCTCATCACTCCTCCACTCAGCACTGTAAGTATCTCTCTCTTGCTCTCTCCCTTCATCTTTATTGGTTATTTGTCTTGGACTAACTGGGGTTGATTTGCCTTAGCTGGTTCTGCAGCTCTGTCCAAATATAGTTTCTTCCTAGTGACATGGGTGATCCAAAAGAAGCTGAGAATGATACTGCTGATAATGAGGCCGCAGTTGCCGATGGAGACCTCAATCCCAATCTAGAAAATGCTGCACTAGATGATCAGCAATCCGATTCCCAACTTCCTAATGAAAATAAAGGGGCAGAGTTGTCTGCATTGGATGCTGCTGGTGCTGTTATGGGTGTCGAGACCTTCAATTGTACAGCTGACAACCCTCAGCCTGCCCCTGGCATTGTTGAACTTGCTCCTGTTGCTGATGATCCGAATGATGCCAACAATCCACATTGCTCTCCTAAGGCTGACATAATGCCTAGTGCAGCAGCTGCTGCTCCTGAGCCCATCTCTGGTGATAAAGAGTACCCTATTCACTTTGCTGCTTGTACGGAGCCCCCAGCCAATGGATCATTAGACGATACCGGTGAAGTCTCTACCTTAAAGCGGAAAGCAGGCAATGAAGATGCAAATTTCAAATCCAGGTGTCCTGATAGTAGTGGTGCTGATGATGGCACTATTGTTGCAAATGATCAGAAGCCATTTTCCACAACCAAACATGAGGAAGACACTGTTTCTACTGTGGCTGATCATCAGTCTGCTGAGAACAAAGATGATCACGTAGGAGATAGAGTCTCCCTGTTGACAGAGGAACTGGCCAAGGTCGATTTCCCCGTGTACTCTATAATTAAGAAGGAACCTGCAAAATCCAAGTTGGATGAAGAAGAGCCTGGAGGTGCTCTGAGAACCCTTGGTAGAACTTTCCTTTTGGAACCTTCTTCAGACGAGGGATACGAGTCGGGAACGGAGGAGGAACAATTGGAGTTCATGAAGGAAGTTGAAACTTTTTATAGAGATAATCACTTGGAGTTCAAGGCCCCAAAGTTTTATAAAGAAGAACTAAATCTGCTTAAGTAAGTTGTTGCAACTCACGCACAACTCTTGCTTGTTTCTCTCTGTCTTCATCCATTAACAAAGATTCTTGATCATCCCGCTATTTCATTTGATTAAGGTTGTGGAGAGCTGTTGTCAAACTGGGAGGCTATGAACAGGTTCAATCTTGTTTGCTCCATGAAACTGGTTACGTTTCTCATACTCCGTGAATTGGTATGGGTACTATAGGCTTTCTTTGCTTTCTTATTTCTGCAGGTGACATCATGCAAGTTATGGCGGCAAGTAGGCGAATCATTTAGACCTCCAAAGTAATAATCCTTAGATTTAAGTTGATTTCTGGATTTTGGCTTGATTAGCAACTGGAAACAGAAGGTTTTTTGGGAAGTAAACTTTCTCACTGAGGCATTTTTTTATGCATGAGTAGATATGTGTTTGATGTGTACATATGGACTTTAAAACTTTGACCATGTTTTAGTTCTATTAGTGGTTATGTATATACTTTATATGACTGACTACTTGGGAACGTGTCATTTTCTACTATAAAACAAATCTGGTTCCATTTTTCTTGGATTTATTGTTGTTCAATTTGTTAATTGAAATTAATTGTTTTCATTCTCTACATTACTAGAACGTGCACAACAGTCTCGTGGACATTCAGAATTTTTTATGAGAAGGTTAACATCTGTCTTATCTAGATGTATATTTGCAGTGGCTTCTATCTAAAATAGTTCTTGAATCCGCTTTCTTTTCTTCATTCAGGCACTGCTTGAATATGAGAAGCATAAAATGCGTAATGGTGAACTTCCTTTCTCTGATGGTATATCAATTGAGGCAACAAGGCCCGAAAACCAGGTAAGCTAGAGTGGCTTTGCTGCGAGATATTTGCTGCATTCATCTTCTTTATGAACTAGGCCCTAAAAGAATATTGGTGCTTCAAAGTTCGCTCTGTATGTTAAATCTGGGACGTATCATATTAAGATGTCCTTTACCACATTAGCTGATTGGCATTGCTCCGACAGTGTCTGTCTACTGTGGGATTAATAGGTGTTTCTGAGGTCAATGGTATTCTGGATCTGTTGTTGCATAGATAGTTTACAGGTAAACAGGTTTGTGGTTAAGGTTTCTCTATTACCCATTTGTTTGTCATCCATAAAAAGGGTTTCTGAAAGATAAATCCTACTGGAGCAATTTTGACTGAGCAACATTCCCCCATGCTACTTAATGTTAAGTTGGCAATAAAGGATGGTAGGAAGGTAAACCTAGTATTATTTAGAAGATCCTTCCACGTGCAATAATTCACCTGTCTATAGCTGCCTTCATTATCATTCCCCCATTTGGCTTCAGCTAATAATCTGCTTTGTATTCTCGGAGCATAAATTTATTACTCAGATGCTAAACTTATCAGAGCTTCTATTATTTGTACTTTTGATTTGTTTTTTCCCTGAAGCTCTTCGTTGACGAATTCCTGGAGGAATATTTGGATGTTCCAAGTAGTTCTATAGATTATTTCCTCCAGTTTTGTGGGATTTTTGTTTCCACTTACCCTATTTGATGTGCTTTATGAGTTTAGCCTATGGTTACATGCTTTCTCTTCAATGTGCATCTGTGTATTTGCCTCACTTTTCAAGCATCAAATTCTAGGGCCTCAAATCCAGGATATCATTTCACGAAATTTTCGTATAAATGATGAGTGCAGTCCAGTGGAAGTTTAGGAGGCCTTGTACCGGGTCGAGCACCTCGAAGAGATGCTGCTGCTCGTGCAATGCAGGGTTGGCATTCTCAACGCCTGCTTGGTAATGGCGATGTTTCTCAACCAGTCATTAAGGTGTGTGGAAAAAGCTTCAGTTTCTATTCCTAGTGCTGCAATTACATTTTCTTAAAGATTAATTTCTCAGCCTTCTTGCTGTTTTGGACTTAGGATAAGACTTTGAATTCTATTTCCAAGGCTGACAAGCCATTGAAGACAAATGGTACAACTGCTATACTTTATCAGCGTCTTGGCCCCATAATAAACATGTGTCTTTGGTCTGAATTTGGCTTACTGTCTATCAGGTTTACTTAAGAGGAAGAAGCCGTCAAGTGCTGAACGTGCCATCAGTGCATCTCCCTTGAAGACAATGAGGACACAGTTAGGTTTTTGTTTTAAATATTCCTTAGTTTTCATAAAGGGAGTGGATTATGAAAGAGAATCCTTATTCCTTTCTTTATCAGAGCGGATACAGTGGTAATCGATGTGGGCCCCCCTGCTGAGTGGGTGAAGGTCAATGTACAAAGAACTGTAAGATTTATATTTCCACTTCCATGAACTTGATGCTTGATTTGCAACTTCAAATGGTTATCGTCTTGAGTATTTGCTGATACTGCTTGCTCTCTCACAGAACGATTGCTATGAGGTATATGCTTTAGTTCCTGGACTTTTACGCGAGGAGGTAAGATCACATATCATAGAGATCTTCCATGTCATCATCTTTCTCATGAAAAGAAAATATAGGTCTCCATGGCAACTGGTTTTAATTGGTTTAACCTTACTGTGAATCATTTAGTTTAGATAACTATTGTTGGTCTTGTATTTGGTTCTTGCTGCATGCCAAGCAAATTCAGCTGACACTACATGCTCATCTGTCCTTGGTATGAGTGTTAGATACAATTGGCTAGACGGGCCTTCCGATACAATTTCTGAAGTACGACCCCAAAGTGTTCAACAGTACAAATTCTGTGCTTGTAAGTCGTTGGTAGATTTGGTGTATGAATGGATGATGTCCATGTTTCTTCCTCTCCCCCCGCATTTTAGAAAAGTGAAACATTTCCCTGTTCTGCTGTGTTGAACCAATCTCATTCATCTACTTAGTTGATGCACGTATATATTCTGTAACTTCCCTATTCTTTCCTTCCATAAAATTGCAGACCCCTAGAATCGACCCAAACGTGGGGTGCTTCCTGAAGCAGTTTTTCTGTTTTGCCAGTTATTAAGTGAGGTGGCAATCGTAGCCTGTGTGAAATGGACCTGAAGCAGTTTTTCTGTTTTGCCAGTTATTAAGTGAGGTGGCAATCGTAGCCTGTGTGAAATGGACAATCGTGATATTCTCTGGCATTAGTTTGTGGTTAGCCTAGCTGCATGGTCACGCTGACAGTTTTTGGAACAATTTCATGTGCAGGTTCATGTTCAGTCTGATGCAGCTGGACGCTTGGTTATATCTGGTCAACCAGAACAACTTGAAAATCCCTGGGGTGTCACCCCATTTAAAAAGGTCAGTTTTGGATGACTCCGGCTGATAGGTTTAAAAGCTTTAGTTTGTTGCCATTGACCTCTTGTTCTATTCCTTTTACATCTCGTGAGACATGCCAGTCTGCTGTCTTCCTTGGTTTACCCATTCATTGGAGAAACTTGAAAAAGCTGTAGAGGTTTAACTTGTGTAATGCGGGAAACGGAGGCTAACAGCAGTTGTTGACTTGCAGGTGGTTAGCCTGCCTTCAAGAATTGATCCTCACCAGACATCCGCTGTAGTGACGTTGCACGGCCAGTTATTTGTACGGGTACCGTTTGAGCAGTCCGATGGTTAAGCTGTGTAGCATATGCTCCAACTGGAGACTAGAAGGCCCTTTAAATTTGATTAGGAATGACCGAGGAAACAATGTAAGCATCTCCCCTACAGATAATGATTTGGTAGTGCCTGGTCATTTTTATTATCCGTAGTCAACTTGGAAAAACTAACCATGTATTTCTTGACGCTGTATTGTAGCAGTAACTCTTTTACTGTCGTACTTGGGTACTTGTAATTTAAAAATAATTGAAATGAGTCGACATTGGAGTGAATCGTTACCCAGCAAGCACATTTGGGAACTGGAAAGGGCTGTGCTATTGTGCCCTTGAAAGTTGCTTAGTTTCGTAGTTCGGCCATATTGCATTACATCAAGTTTTGGGGTTCTGCTGCCATATCAGTTTTGGGGTCCCTCTCTGGATTTGTTTTAGCCCCAACAAACACACAACGCATTCATTCCAACAGTCTCTGCAATGCCGTATATCTGCGCAACGTTCCTTACAAATTGATCTGGCATTTGTTTGACATAAACACACATTGTATTGAAATCTGTTAAGTGCTAGTTCTACTCTGCTTTGGCTACGGTTCCAGCGCTTGAATTAGAGCATGCCTGCCTGCCTGTCTGTGTGTCTAGTATTGAATGTGTACAAAGCTACTACAAAAGCATGTGAAGCCCCTGCTTGGGTAATTATCAGGGGAACTAGACTAGAAACCGCCGCCCGTGCCACTGGGTTGGGTGGGAGTGTTGACGACGGTGGGGCGGGCGGGCTAATAGCAATCCAAAGAAGAGAGAGCGTGATTGCTATCAAGCCTGACCACACATACACGATCGTCGGAGTCTTCCTTCTCCTCCCCATCAAGCCTTTGGCGAAGGGGTACAAGTGAGCCAAAACCCAGGAGCTGAAAAACCCGCCACCCACCAATTTGCTCCACTGCGGCACCGTGCTGTATACAGTCCTTATGAGTGCCCAAGCCATGGCTGTGATATTCGTTATGGCAATCACAATGGGTGGAATCATGAGAGAAGTCCACTTCACCAGGTATAGCTCCGCTCCGCGTAGATGTCGTCGTTGTCATCTCCGGCTCCTTTAGAAGTCTGAGTAAAGGAGATTTCAATGCCCGCAACCACCTTGAGCAGGCCCTGCACCAAGTGAGCGCTCGTGCCAGAGATGAGCCAAAATTGCTCGTTTCCAAGAGGGCAAGCCCAATGAGGCAGAAGGTGATGATGAGAAGGTACACAAAGAAGGCAATGTTGAGGCTCTCCACGATGAAGGAGCCCGAGAAGAGCGACAGTGCCGGGAGACGATCAGAAAGATGGAGGTGAAGGGGTATATGCCGACGTTGAGATAGAAGAGGCGTTGTAGCAACATGAAGAAACTGAATGTAGGGCACGCATATTCCCATCAAAGAAGACTGTGTTCTTGTTGGCAATACCGATCCGATCCGAGGGATCGATTCCTTCAAACCTCTGAGGAAACTGAATGTAGCTAGCAAATGCTCTCCCCACCTCTATCCATCATAAAACACATCCCTTCCCTTATAGCCTTGCAGTTGTAAACGTAGTGGTCACAATCAAGGTTGAGAATGAAATGAATGGGCCGTTGGAGAGAATAGCAGCAGATGCCCTTACCAAACAGTTCATTGCACCAGCTTTTTTGTTGTGGTCATAGTATCCGGCCCTGGTCTCTTCTCACGCGACACATAGACAAACAAACATCGGAAGCCAGCCGGATGTCGACATTAGTGAAATCAAGAATCTTGTCGTCACCCTTAACAATAACTAATCGAGAAACGAAGTGAGAAATGAAACCTGTGGTGGTTGTTCATCCGACGGATCCTGTGATGATCCATCTCCTTGCTGAGATCTCGTTGCAACCATCTTGGATCTCTTCTTCACGGGCTGTTCCTGAAACACAGTTATATATTAAGATAAATATCCATGTTCCCAAGACAAATATCCACAAATCAGAGTAGTTTTTTTATCCAATTATTATCGTAGTAAAGCAAGAGTGTATCCAAACGGAGATAATTGATATCCGTAAACAAATATCCATAATCCCCAGACAAATAACTAAAACCTACAGTTAAATATCAACCCTATCCGAACTAATATCCACACATCATAGTAGTTTTTTATCCAATTATTATCGTAGTAAAGCAACAGTGTATCCAACCGGAGATAAATGATATCCGTAAACAAATATCCATAATCCTCAGACAAATAAGTAAAACGTACCGTTAGATATCCACTCTAACCGAACTGATATCCACAAATCATAGTATTATTTTTTTTAGCCAATATATCCATGAAAGGAAGTGAGAAATTAAACCTTTGTTGGTTGTTCTGCCACAGCCGCCGGTTTCTTTGATGATCCTGCTGGCTCATTGTCGGCCTTTGCATTCTTTTTTGGTCTCCCCATTAACTGAACCAATATCCACAATGACCACAATTAGTATCGGAGATGACAAAATTGATATCCATGTAACTTTTAATCAAGGAGTCGACAAACGATACCCAGATTCCACAAAATCGAATCCAACAAATCCTAAATCAGATAATCTAGAAACAATATCCAGAACCCCCAAAATGGAATTCGAGAAACCCTAAATTTGGTACCTAGGAAAAAAATCCACAAATTAGAATCCAAGAAACCCTAAATCTACAATTCGAGACGAAACCCAAAACCCCCAAATTAGAATCCCACGAACCCTAAATCTGGTTCTCTAGAAACAAAACCCTAAACATCCATATTCGAATCCATGCAACCCGAAATCTAAAAATCGAGAAACGATACCCTGAACCCCATAAGTTGAATCGCATGAACCCTAGGTTTTGAAACCGAAAAACGAAACCCAGATCTCCACAAAAAAATCCATGAAACCCTAACTTAGTATCCACAAACAAAATGAAAAATAAAGAGAGGAGAAGACGGCAACCTGAAACCCTAAAGCTACCCAGATTCCTTCTTCGTCGACGAATTCGTCGTCTTCTTCTTCCTTCTTCCTCGGCAGCGTCTTCTTTCTCGTCGGGATAGCTTCAACGTCGTCGTCGGCGTGGTTTCCAACAAGCTGTCGCCGACCTCGCACTCGTCGTCGCCGTCGCTGCCGTCGTCGCTAGGATTTGTTGGTGGTGGTTTTCGGGAGAAGAAGAAACAGAGAGGGAGAGGGTTGGTTCGAAAGTTTTTTGGAGAGAGAGGGGAGAATGAAAAACGCGGGTTGAGGGAGAGAGAAGCGGGTTTGGGTTTGAATTTTTGGTTTTTTTTTTATTGTGGGCCCACTTCTCCCAAAAACGGCTCGACTTGGCTTCTCCACTCTTCCCCTCCTCACACGACGGCGCCGGTGATCCCTCTCCCTCCGATGGTGGCTCGGCGACATGGACAAGGATCCCACCTTGTTAGTATCTACTAACCACTTAAAGGGTTAGCAGAATAGCCCTATTGCTGTTGCACAGCCTCTATTTTCTATACGATGTTTGAACTTCGGTGATTATGGTGTCATGGTTCTGTCGTCATAGGATTCTTTTATGAATATATTTTGGTTGTTCATTAACTGTAGACAGTTCTATGATTCACCAGCAAGCGATAGTAACTGAAATCATATGCCTTGCAGATTGGATCATAACACTATCATGGTTCTGCTTAGGTTCTCATAATGTGGATACAATGCTTATGTAGACCATCATCATTATATTATCCACTTTCCTTTTCTCTTATTTATGTTAGCTTTTTCTTATGATTGAATGAATCAGGGAGAAGGGATCAATTGGATGCGAACCCATAAAATGATGTTAGTTCATAGCTTTTGCATGTTGTTCGTGGGGTGTTTCTTTCTTTTGCTTTTAGTTTGTTCTTTTATTTTCCCCTGGCTATCTAATCAATGATAATTTTGATCTCTCTGTGTTTTCAGTTCCATGGTGAACGAGGATGGATTTGCAATTGATGATAAATCACTCAAATCCCCTCTCTTACAGTAGCAGACCAAGCGGAGGAGGGAGTTTGGTGTGCTCTTTCAACAATCCACTCTTTTGGTGATCATCTGGTCCTATCATGGTTTGTTATTGTGTCTTTCAATTTCCTAGCTTGATTCTCTAAGTAATTATGTTAAACATGGAGGAAATTGGGGCCATTTGACACAGATCATTGCTTGCTGAAAATGGTAATTCTTCCAGTGACTATTTCCAGGTCTGTATCAGATTTACTTCAACAAATCAATAGTAGGAGTCCTTGATAAAGCTAGACAGTATCTTTTAGTCCATTAGGCTGTCCTATCGAAAATTATGCATCTCAGGGTTAGATCACTGAGCATCATCGACCCTACACTTTCTTCACTATTTACAGCTCGGTGGACTTTTCATTTAAATAGCATGATTCATGCATCTATAACTTTCTTGCTGGTGTTTGCTTACCTAATTGTTCATTTGTCACAGGTTCAATGGTCATTTGGTAATAGAATTTGTGTGACTGGATTTGGATGGAGCAAGATTATGGGTGTTGTTTATTTGTTCCTTTGTATGCAGGTAAAAGTTGATCTCTCATGAATTTGACAGAGGAACTAGATTCTGTTTAAGTAATGTGGCTAATGGGTGTAGTTCAGGGTGCCATGTCTCCTCGCCAATTGGATCGGATTCGTGGATTGGATTGGTGGATCCATGGATCAAATGGATTGGATCCAATAGATTGGTGGATTCATGGATTGGATCAAATGGATTGGTGGATTGATCCATTAATCCAAATGACATCCAAGGCTTGGACCAAAATGTAAATTTTGAAAAGTTTAGGTACTAAAATGTCATAATGAAAAAATTTAGGTACCAAAATGTAAATTTCCAATGATATTTTTCGTATAAAAATATAAAGTTTAGGTACCAAAATGTAAAATATAAAAAATATAGATACCAAATCGTAATTTGTCATTTGGATCAATGGATTGATCCATGAATCCACCAATCCAATTGGATTTGGATCAAATGGATTGGATTTAAATGGATTGGATTTGATGGATAATTTGGTGAATGGAATGGATTGGATTCATGGATTTGGATCATAATTGCCACCTCTATTTATATGTAGGAGCTTTTGGTTATGACTAGGCTAAATATTGTAATGAATAGTTTGATGGTTATAATTTTTTTAATTATTTATGTGTCTTTAATAAGAATATATGTAATATATGAGCCTCACTATATATGGGTGTGAAAGGTTGGAAATGGCCGCCTGGTCTTTTGTTTTCTGTTCGAAATTGCATGCTATCAGGTTGATTTTATTGGGCAATAGTTCTCCCAAATGTTCGGTTGTAGAAATTGCGATAAGCGGCTCTATCTATTGGTGTCTTAAATGATTAGGTGGTTATAGTTGTTGCTTTTGAGGTTGAATTGTATTAACCATAATTTAAATGGTGTGTTTGCTCTAATGTTTAAATCAGTCTCTACCATCAACAATGTTGTAAATATATGTGGAAATTTTTTTGGAATCCAAGCTGATTCAATAAATACTTCAAATCCCGGCGCAGAGCGCAGACAATAACATCCTAGTTAAAACATTACAACAACCAAAATACAAGGGCTGAGCGTTAAGAGGCAGATATTAGAAGTCAAAATACAATGAACAATTCTTCTTTCAGGATCTGATACAACACTTCATCCACAAGCAACTGCAATGCTCCAAAAAATTGATTCCAAGGACAAATTGCAGCACACACTCTCTCTCTCTACTAAAACCCCCCTCACCAGGCCAGTGGAGGAGAGTACAATCTCACACTTGTTCTACCAAAAAAAACCCAGAAAAAAAAACACAGATACAGACACGATTTCAGTGAAAGAGGAAGATGAAGTCCAATAAAAACTAGGGAGATATAGCTTGCAAAAAAATCGGTACAAACGGGAAACAAAAGCTTTCTTTAACACGAGTTCCTTACGAAACCCACAATTGCAGAGCGAGGAGGCCGTAGCAGTAGCAATACTTCTTTAATTCACACTCGGATTTACAAAATGCATCAACAACCTGTTTCTTTTACCCTTTATCTCTTTCTTTTCCAGTCTCCCATCAATTTAGATTATTATGCATAAATGTCTCCCTCCAAGCCAAGCCATTGCAAATTCTAGCTCTCGACTACAGGGCCTCCAACCTCCAATCCAAATCTTCTTTTCTTTTACAGTCTCAGGCCGGAAATGAAAATTTGAGGAGGCTGTCTCTCCTGTCAGTGCTCTCTCCTAGGCCATCTCCTCTACTGCCTGCTGAAATCATCTCCAGTCAGAATACATCCAAGATTACAGGGAACTGCTAAAATGAAGTCCACTCTTCTACAGTATACTTCCCCCCAGCTTTACTAGAGTCCCTGACCTGTACAAGTTGGTGTCGCGATGATGCATTATTGAGCACCAGGTGCATCCCTCATGCTCAAATTTAGACTGTTCCTCATTGTTCGTCTACCAATTCCTGCATTCCCCATTTGCATCATCGCCACAAATTCACCATAATCAATCCTTCCATCCTGAAGTCAAATAAAGTTCAGCAATTTCGGTAACCTTTGATAGGAAAGGGTTTCAGAAATGAAGGAGTATGAATAAGGAAAGTGATACAGTAACGTTTATCTATTATTGGGCTTGCGTACATTATCTTGATCAACTTCTCTGATTATATCCTCAATGAAAACATCAGTCATGTTCTGCTCGGCACATGCATGCTGAAGCTCGTCAACTGTGATGTAACCGCTTCCATCCTTGTCAAAGTACCGGAATGCAGCAACAAGATGTTCCTCACGTTCCAATTTGTTGAGATGGATTGTCGCAGCTATGAATTCCCCATAGTCAATGGTCCCACTATTGTCCACATCAGCCTGAAAATCATTAATAAACATATCCAGAGCTAAACAAATGCTAATAGTTTGCAGCAAATGGTAGTAGCAACTAGTTCAAGATCCATTTCTCATATAACATTATCCAACTCCTAAGAAACTCAAAGTCACTTCTGTAAGACCCCACTCAATCCACCAGCTAGAAGCAGAAAATGTCAGTTATGGACTGACCATGAAACCACTAGCAATCTCCTAAAAGAATTCCCACTTGTTTCTCACTGTCTCGCTTTTATATGACTTTCACTCTTAAGGTGGGAGGTAAGACCTTAGCAACCATCTTACCGCATCCATAAGATCACGTATCTCTGTATCCTTCATGGTAGAGCCATATCTTCTTAAACCTGCTTTGAGTTCATCAAACGTTATTGCACCACTGTTATCAGTGTCCATAGACTTGAACATTTCCTTCAAACCAGCAATCTCTTCCTCCGAAAGGCTTTCAGCTATCACCTGAAATCATGTAACATAGGTTCCACAGATGGGATAAAATAATTGGTTCGACTTTTCTCTGCAAGAGGTAATATAAATAATGAAATTAAGTTTATCGGCAGGCTATAACCCATATAAAATTTAATTGTACATTCTGTAGCTAGGCAACAGATTAACTTAGGTACATAAGCAGGCAACTGCCTATTCATTTGGATGGCAGAATTTGCCCAATGTATGTGACCTGATTTCCCTAGAATGAATGATGGAATGTCACTTTTTCCTTTGCATGGATGACTACTTTAAGCTCGATGGAATCCCTCACAATCATTGGCATGTGAATTCTACGGGTGGGACAGGCAGAGGATGCATTGAACAATGCGACTATATCCTTTTTATTCGAATTCCCCTGAAAAACATCTAACTTGTAGAACAATAACACTAGATGAGGCATTTGTAAGAAGAAACAAGGGCAACATTGTACTTTCATATTTATGGTGAAAATTTCATTCCATCCCCGAAATTCCACCTTTAAAAAATGCATCCAAACAGTGGAATGTCCACATTCTTCTCCTGTCACATTTCTCATTCCATCGAATTCCAAACCCCACCACTTAAACGAGCTCCAAGGAATAACTTCTAGCTCATTCCATACATAAACTTAGCCACTTACCCGTAGAGCCATCTTTTTTAGTTTGTTCATTGCTGAGAACTGCTTGAGACGAGTGAGTACAGCTGCATCAAGAGCTCTATCAGGAGCAACTCCATTTTCACAGATCCAAGGATGACCTTAATTAAGTAAGCAAAAAAAAAAAAACTCAGCATGTTTACGAACTCACATGGAAGCAAAGGTAGTAACATTTTCCAAGCAAGATAATTGCATTTAGCAATATCTAGTAGTATTAAATGACAAACCTGCTATAAAAAGCAGCAGTAACAAATCCAGAAAAAAAAAAACAGAGAGCTTGCAAAAGTATTTTTCCTCTGCATGAAACAGTTATGCCTCTGTAAAGCCATGCTTTTAAATAAACATCCCCTAGTTCTGGGATATCATAACATTAATGTGGTTAGCAAGCATTTTTATGGAACTGCGGAAACTACAAGTTAAGTAAAGTGCTAATTTAGTATCATCAGTATATATGTAACTAATGTTCACACAAAAGAACTTAAGTAATTAGATATCACATACACAATACTTCATGAGCAGTCAAGCGTTCTTTAGGATGGGATGAAAGCATCCTTCGAATGAGATCTTTAGCACTCTCTGAAATTAACGGCCATGGGTCCGAGTCAAAGTCAATATGCCCCTTCAAGACTGCATCAAATATTCCTTGCTGTGTCTCTGATTTACCATCATCGGAAACCCTTTCAGATTATTGCACTATTGAAGTGACCTAGAGCCATGAGACATTGCTACAATGACACTTACCAGCCCAAAATGGCGGCACCCCACTTAACAATATGTACAGAATGACACCAGCTGTCCATACATCAGCTTCTGGCCCATAATGTTTGAGAAGCACCTCTGGTGCAACATAATATGGACTTCCAACAACATCAGTGAAAATTTGACCTGAGGCAGAACCCATAAGTATGTGAAATTCAATTCAATGGACTGCTTATACTACTCTTGGTGTAATCATTAACTGCAATACATACCTGGTTTGAAAAACACAGAGAGCCCAAAATCGATGGCCTTGAGAGAGAAATCATCGTCCTTGTTAACCAACAAGAAATTCTCGGGCTTTAGATCTCTATGCATAACCCCAAGAGAATGGCAAGCCTCGACAACACCAACAATGATCTTGGTAAGCTCAGCGGCTTTCCTCTCGCTGTAATGCCCTCTCTGGATGATTCTATCAAACAGCTCCCCACCAGAGCAAAGCTCCATCACAATGTGAACATACAAAGGGTCCTCATAGGCACCTTTAATGGTGACAATGTTCTTGTGACCAGCCAAATGGTGCATAATCTGAATCTCCCTGCGAACATCATCGACGTCTTCTCTGGCGATCAACTTTCTTTTGGAGATGGATTTGCAAGCGAACTCGGTCCCGGAGGAAATCTCAGTGCAGAGGTAAGTAGTACCGAATTGGCCCTGCCCCAACTTGCGCCCCAAGTTGTAGAGGTCGCGAATATTGGGAGTCTTGTGGCCGAGAACGTAGTAAGCTTGGTTTTCTGCTGTGCGCCTCATGGTGGTGACTTCCTTGGTGGGGCTCAAAATGGGCAAATTGTTATGGTTGTTGGGGTTAGGAGTGGTGACGAAATCAGGGGTGGCGATGCTGGAATTGGTGTGATCAGAAGAAGGGTTGCGCCTGGAAGTTGATGTTCTGGAGAGATCCTCGGGCTGAGTGTAGCCCTGATACAGTTTGCCTTTGAAAGATCCACGGCAAGTGTTGCCCATCAAACAACCGCAATTGCCTGTTTAAATATATTCACCTCACGCTTTGCCCCACTCATCCAAGTGTATTATTGTTGTCATCAAAATTTGATTAGCTGCTCCACGAAATTGAACAAACAAGGGGGGAAACATGAAAACATCAGCTAAAGATAGCAACTTTGTAAAGCGGGGTGTCTCTAGCTCATTCAATCAATTGAAAGAAAGAAACCCAGGAAGGAAAACCTTAAATAGAACATCGGATCGCAGCTATGCGGGAACAAAAGGGGATGGAATCGGAAGCTGAAGCTAAAGAAGGAAAGCAAAAGGAGGAAAGATGCAGACTTTTGAGGTCAATCATGATGCCAGTCATATTTTATCCATAAAACAAAAGGACATTAATCTTTACATCATCATAATAATAATCACAATGAAAATAGGCGGCGAGAAAAAGGAAAGAAGAGGGGGAAGAGCATACAGCAGGAAAGGAAGAGATTAGGAATCCAAGATATGATATGAGAAGCCGTTGCCAGTTTGCTGAGCATAATAATAGCAATAATAACTAAGGAAGAAGACAAAGAAAAAAGGGAAAGGATCGACGGAGGTTGCCGAGAGAGAGAGACAACTTACAAGGAGGGAATTGCGTAGGGCGGAGGAGTTGAGGGATCTGAGGGGAGGGCGTTCATGAGTTGGCTTGACAAATGACAGGCACAAATCTATAACCAATGGCAACAAATGAAAATGAGAAGACTGGGATGGGAAGAAGGAAAGAAAGGAATAGTCTTCACTCTTCTCTCTCTCTTCTTTTTTTAATTTTAATTTTAAATTATTACTATTATGTTCCTTTTGAATCTAAAGGGTGGGATTAGTTATGAGATTAGGGAGAGAAACGGGAAGGAGGAATTGAAAGAGAAGCTAATTAATTATTAATGAAATATATAGCTAAAATTTTAAACTTCCACCCCATTCAAAATTTGTTGTCTTCAGACTTCAGAGTGGGGAGGAGCACTAAGCAGAGGTGATTTATCGTAAATATCGTTTAACAAATATACATTATCACAAATATAGCGAAAATAAAAATATTTACATAAATATTGTGAATAAAAACAAGGTCGCGCAAGAACGTACAAGCTCTCATCTTCTCCCTTTCCCATCTCGCTTTTCCTTTCCGCCTGATTCAGGCCTAATTGTACAATTTTTATCCTATTTTTCCACTATGTTTGGCAACAAGGGGGATGCAAGTTCGAGTGGTAGAGTGGTAAATTTTTGGGGGTGCAACTTGGTAGAGGTTGTAAGTGGAGGGGTAAATTGTTGTTTGGATGAAAAAGCAAGGGGTGCAAATAGAGTGAAAAATAAGTAATTATATTACTATATAATAGATTTATCAATTTATAAAATATTATCAAAATATAATAAAATAAAAATTCAATAAATAATAATAATTATATTTTTAATAAAAATAATTATCATACAATAATGCTAAAATATAATTATTTATAACAACAATAATAAGCATTGGTCGAGCAACCTCGAAACTTGAAACCCAACTCGTAACTGGTCATCCTAAGGGGGTTCTCGTGCCTAACTTTAAATTGAATATGGTCAAACTTAGTCAAACACGTTCGAATCTGTAAGTTTTAACTACTTATTGTAAATCGAGTCAACTAAACTGTTCCTCTCTATCTTTTCAACGAACGCTTCGTGTCTCTAATTTTCAATGCAAATTCGGGTCAACCAAGAGATATCGATTCGACTAGACGAACATTGACAAACTTGCTACTTGGAGTCAAACAGTCAACCCCAAACAACTTCTACATTAGTATAGATATAAAAAAAAAATTAATAAAATTAATAATTATGTAATTATAATCTAATTAAATATCCATAATTCCTCTCCTCTCACTTCCCCCTTCCTTCCCTTGCACCCCAATTTGGGGGGTAAGCCGAAATAGTGAATTTACGCTCACGTTTTGCACCCCCTACTGCTACAAAATAACCAAAAGGGGTAAACACCTTGGAACTTATGTTTACCCCCCAAGCTTGCACCCCCCCACCCCCTCCTCCTCCATTTACACCCTTTGCCAAACGAGGAATTTTACAATGCTATATAGCATTGGTGCTATAGGTTTTTGCCTTTATGGTACAACTTCATATTAAACATATACTTTTTGTACAAATTCTTTTATGGTACAATTTGAACTTGTACTCTTATGTGATGGTAGAACTTCAAGTTGTAAAGTTGTACCATAACATATTGGTACAAATTCCTTTATGGTACAACCCGAACTTATACATTTAATGTTATGGTACAACTTCAAGTTGTACATTAAAGCACCAATGCTATATAGCATAGTAGAAGGGCTCTTCCCAATCAGGTGTGGATTTACGTTAGATTTTGCCTTGTTTTAGCATGTTTCAGACCCAAGCAGGTGAAACCAGCCCTGGAGTTGGAAATTGGACGAAAAGACGCAAAATCGGGCAAAGGATGGAGGCAGCCGCAGATCACGGCAGAAGCAGATAGTTCACAGTCAGGAGGACCGTGAACTGAAGCTAGCGACCATGAAGCGCCATGCGTCTAGAGCCATTATTTATCTCACTAGACTCAAGTCAGTTCACGATCGTAAGACCGCGAACCCAAGCCAGAGACCGTGAAGAACATAAATGATGCGGTGCATTTTTGCTCAAAATCACGGTCTCTGCCATATGTTCACAATCGTGAACTTGGACCGTGAATCAAGCTCGAGCTGGGTATTAAAGAGGCTTGAGCCGAAGGAAGAAGGAGGAGAGACCTAGTGAGGGAAACTTCTTCTTATTCATATTTCTAGAGTGAGAAAGTGACGAACCAAAGAAGGGAAGAAGTTAGGGTTTTATCTTCAAGCAAGGTTTTGAGAATTCCTTCCCCAAAGGAGGATCTCTTCAACACAAGGAGCAAAGCTAGCATCTCCATGATGGTTTCCCTTCTTCTCCCTTGTGTTTTCCATTCTCCTAGCATGGAGTAGTCCTTTATTTCACTTGGGTGTTTGTAAACCCTACCTACAATTATGTGAATGTTTGTATGGCTTGAATGATTTGTGTGAGGGTGTGTTTTAATACAATGTTACGAGGTATTTTCATGAAGATTGATTGTGTTTGTGCATTTCAATGTCTTATGTTATCTTAACCTAGGTAGAGGGAAATCCCCTTCTTTTGAAGAGGCTTGTAAAAGCTGGGTTTCCTTGGGCAATCTTTGCCTCCTACTTAGATTAAACTAGGGCAAAACTCTAATTTATATTAGCACCTAGGGTTGGTTGTAATTTGGCCATCCGAACTCCAATCCGAGGGTGAAGTATTGGCAACCCTTAGTCAATTGGTCAAGAGAGCTACTTTGGTAGCTTGAATTGAATTCTCTAGACCGATTGACCGAGAGAGTTGCATTTGTTCACTTGTTGCACTTCCCTATGGTTTACAACCTCCTTACCACACGTGTTCATTCGATCCGACAAATCATAATTGCTAGCTAGGGGGAGCAACACCCGGCTGAATCCTTCTCAATTAGTTTCTAATCCATTTACTTTTCCGAACTTTTTAGTTTTAGATCGTTGTTTTCACCAAAAACCAATCAGCTAGATAATGTTTCAAACAATCGAAGTAGGGGTACATAGACCGACCCGGGTTGATATTAAAACATACTTGCCATATATTGCACCCAATTAAGGATTATACTTGGTCCCTAATTGGGAATTTTATTGTGATATTCGGGATGAGTCAAGTTTTTGGCGCCGTTGCCGGGGAACAAACGGTCCATTATTTTGAAAAGATTGTTTGGTGTTAATATAGGTTTTAATTTTCACTTTTGTGTGTTTGAATCTTGTTTGTGTTAGACGAGTTCTGGTTCTTTTGAGTGTGTGCATGAAGGTATATAAGCCTGAGTAATCTGACACCTTTTGCGCCAGTGGATGAGAATCTCAACCGCACTCTCTGGCTCTTGGCTCGTGAGAGGGAGAGGGAGCTAGCGGAAGCAAGAAGAAGGATAGAGGAGAGGGGACAACCACAAGTTGATACAATCCAAAATGGCCGATTATACAAGTCTCAGTTGCTTGACAAAGAAGCTATCTCAATTGGCCAAAGAAGGGTGAAAATCTGGTTTAGTGTTTTGGTAGTTTCAGGGTGCCTACTTGGGGAGGCCATAGATCTCAATTGGCTCGGTTAAATTCTAGTTTGATGGTTTTTTTTGAAGATGAGATGTTTATCTAGGCATTGGCATGCTCTGTAGCTCGAGAGGAAGTCCATAAGGTGATTTTCCAGGTTGTTCAAAAGTGTATCTGGAAAGCTGAAAACTGCCAGAAAATGGCTAAGGGAGAAAACTGTTTTGTGAAGCCTAATTTGGAGCTCCATTCGAGGAGCATGGATCTGATTCAAATCCAAAAGCTTCCACAACTTGAAACTAGGTATGTTTGTGTACAAAGGGAAGGGATTGGAGTTTTGTAAGGCCTCGAACGAATATCACAAATTTAGTACGAAAACTGTTTTCTGGCAGTTTGCTTGTGCTAAAAGGCAGCTTACTTGTGCTTGAAGAAGGAGAGTTATTGGCCGAATTTTGTGTCCTTTTTAGAGTAGTCTTCTAATTTAATTCGTTTCCTTGTGAGTCTAGATTTGCATTAGGTTTTCTTTGGCTATAAAAGCCTTCTAGTTTTCGTTGTAAAGTAGAGAAGATTATTGTTGAATGAAAATTGCTCCTACATGAGTGTTTTGAGTTCTTGAGTGTGTCTCGATAATTTACCTATTCTCTTTAGCTTTGAGTGGATTTCGTAGCTAATTTCAAGACCCTTGTTCAAGCTATTGTGTGGAGGATTTTAGAATCGTTTAGCAAATTCTCTTATCAATTGATTAATCACCTTGAGTGTGGCGAGAATTCTACCTATCCGTTTTAATTTTCGTTAGAGAGTTTGAGCTGCGTAATTCTGATCAAAAGCACCCCCTTGGTGCTTTATCAAGTGGCATCAGAGCATTAGGTTCAAGTCAGGGCGATGAAGGATTGACGGGCAGTGGTTTCGTACAAAATTTTTGTTGCAAACAGAGGCACGGAAATAGAGCAACAATGGCGGAAGAGGATCTAGCAGAATCGATGATCTTCACACGAGGATTACTCAACCCCCTCCTCAAAACCGGCCTGTGCTGAGATTTTGGGGAGATTTGGAGCACATGTTTCTGGCCAAGTCACCGGTAGTGAGTCTCCGACAAGCTTCCGACAAAGCTCCGACGACCCCTCTCCGGTAAGTTTTCCGATCGTTTTTTACCGTCCTCGCCCACACCTCACTTCCTCCTACGTCCTGCTTGTGTCTCCAGGTTTGTTTTTCAACTTTACCTTTGTGATTTGTGGAGAATCGGATTAGGAAGTGAAGTGAGGTTGAATTTTTGTGCTTTTCATGATCGAATCTTAATTAGGGGAGATGAATTAGGTGAATTAGGTTGATTGAATGATGGATTGATTTTTGCATGAGCTTAGTGAGCCTTGGTGGGCGTGTTTGAACCGAATTGTGTTTATTTTTAGAATTTGCCCACCAAGTGCTATGTCATGAATGCAAATGGAGTTTATTCTTGTTTGGTGGATGGTAGCCACCATGGTAAGGGTTCTGGTTCAACTTTTTGTATGCATATGGGGGATTCATCACGAGGATCGCCCCGTCACTTCTAGGTGGATCTGGCCCGC